AGTATTCTGAAAAACCATCTTGTTTATCATAATATCACCAACAAGATAACCTGTTCCATATTAAAAGTTCATCAGAGAAGGAGTTTCTTATAATTTCCCTCAACCATCCATAGTTTCCAAAAACTGTTATTTACCATTATGAACGTCTTCCTTAGGATGAATCTAAACACCCCTTCCCTCATATCCTCTTATTCTATTCTTGGGCCACAGGCAGGGGTGTTCATCCAGTCACATTTCCTCCCAGGCCTTTTTCCCCTTTTTCTAATTAAAGGCCTTTAAAAAACAAGTTACCACATAGGACATCAGAAAGAAGGGGTCAAGCCCTCAGATTGTACATTGAAAGACATAAGAACAAGGCAAGCTGCTTTTAGATTTTAAAATAACTTCCCTGTTTGAGCCTTCCTGAAGTGGTGAAGTCCTTTGCCTGCCAGCTGGAGATGCCCCAGGGAACTTTATTCCTATCCAAACAGTGGCATGGTTCCAGATTATAAACAGCCTGTCCTTACCATTGATCCTAGACAAATTTCTAATCTTGGATGGCAGATTTCTGGACACTCCCATCTTCTGTGACTGCAGGTATGGCCCTAGGATCCCAAATGACTGTCTAAATATTTCTAAGGTACCTGTCACTGTCATCTTAAAGCACCAAAACACTATATGCATTTCCAACTTCACAATGACTTTACCTTCTGAATCATTAAAAAGACATTAAATTAGGGTGTTCAGTATAGTTTTCGTGTTTAATGTTGAATCAGTGGTTGTCCTCCCATTTCTGTGAATCACATGTCTTTGGATATTTCTGAAACCACTGAAAGAGCCATCCATAGTGATTTGTGGATGGTTCAGATGTATAGAGAGGAAGGAGGGGTGAGTCATGCTCAGTGGGAAGGAATGCAATCTAGACAATAACAACTATGCCTTTGAAGTCAGAGCTTCGGTCAATGGTTATGGGCAGTTTGACTAAGAAATAAAGTGAAATACTGAAGCAAACCTGGAGCAAGTAATAATCATTACCCATGGCCTCAAGCAGTAACCACATTTTTTTTTTTAACATAGCTTATTCTATAGCTTCTTCATACAGACAGGTCATGTGGTATTGCAGAAGGAGATAAGGCTAGGAATCAAAACATTTGAGTTTGATCGATGACACTTTTTTAACTGGGATATTAGTCATAAAACATAGACATCAATTTTTTCATTTGGAAAATAATACCTGCCCTCCTACCTTACAAGATTATTACAGAACAATTTTATAAACTACAACTTATTTTCAGTGTACATTAGTATTAGTGCTAGATGTAGTAATGGCATCCTCCGGTAGACACACATTGTTGTTTTGGCATGCCACATCTATTCTTCTTTTACGTAACAGTGTCTTAATTTACTTAGGTGAATTAATTCTTCTCTGTTTCTTGATAAAGTAACCACGAAGAGCCCCAGCCTCAAAAGGCTAAGCAGGGGACAACTGACCAAACTGGGTCAACAGAAACTTCACCTACCCTGCTTGCTAATAAATGTTCTGACCCTAAGATCTAATCTGATTCCTCTGTTAAGATTTCTTCACTGGTTCCCCTAAGTCTTCAGAATCTAGTCCAAACTTCTTAGTCTTGCATATAAGATACTTCACAATCTTGCTCCGTCAACTTTTTCATCCTCACGTTTCTGAGTATAATGAAGAAACCAAATTCTTCTTAACTTTGCCTCTAATTTATATCTTTAACCCGTCTTTCTTTACTAATTAATCTTCTGTAATTCCAACCGAGTTTCTGCTCCCCATTTTGTGATCATCTCCAAGAAAAGCTACAGCAGTTGACTCTTTCAAGCCACCATCAATAGTTTCTTTCTTCACTCTTGAGGGATTAGTCCTCTTAGCCCTGACCTACTGCAAAAGACCACAGTTTATTCCTCCGGGTTCCTTGTGAATGAACATCAATCACCCTGTATGTTCTTATAACCAACCTGTTTCTCCATTTATCTCTGTCATGAGGATTGATTTCCTGGGAGATCATTTTCTTATTCATCAAGGGAGTCACATCAATCATGTTCATCTGCTTTTTAAACCAAGAACTTTAGAATAGAAATAAAGCTCAAAAGTAACTTAACTGAATACCTTTTCCTGTGCATAAGTACCTCCAGAGACATAGAACTCACTTCTGAGAACACTTATTCCATCTTTAGATGTCTCCAGTTGTTAATGTTAGAAGTCTCCAGCTCTTCTTTTACACTGAGATAGACTCCCTCCCTTTGTAACTTCCACTCCTGATTCCATTTTATCTAGCCAGACAGAGTATGTTTCCATTCTGTCTTCTATATAATTTCACTTCAGATATTTGGAGACACTTCTCATGCCCACTGTTCCAAGTCCACTTTTGCTAGACCAAATCCTCCAATCATCCCTCATATAAAATTCAATGACTGAACCAGTGGTTCATGAACATTATAATTAGCAAACTGTGGGTCCCAGTTATCTTCCCACAGAGGTCTTCATCTCCTTAGGAATGAATTCAGAAATCAACTTGCTCTTCTGGTCTCACATAAAAAGAATACTTAGGCCAGTAGGATGAAATAATCCCAAAATAAGAGATTTTACAACTGTGACAGCATTTTGAAATATTGTATAAAGAGGTGTGAAGACAAAAAAGACTCAGAATTTTGTATTTGGAAAGTAAATACAGTGCTTTATGGACTCAAAAAATTTTTGTAGATTTCAAACTAACCCGTTTAAATATGTACACAGCTAGTGTTGCCCTAAAAAGTTTCCATGACAAATTTATCATGCTTTGAACATCTCTAATGTTGAACAAAACAGAATGATGTGTTTCTTCCCCAAGAGCCCCAGCATGTCTCTATTTCATGGACAGGCTGCTTCTACTGCAACGAGTTTGGATTTGCAGCCTCGGTAAGTTTTCCTTTATGATTCCTTTAGAGTTAATACTGATATTTTTTCTTCATCTTTCCTCCCATAATTGGCGACCACTGTCATCTGAACTTCTGTTTTACTCACCTCTCCGCTGCTGGCTTTTTTCCTTGAGAATAGCATTTCTGCCCAAGTTGCTTTGCATGTTTTGATCCAGAGGACTGCCCTTCATACACTTTAACACATCCTTAGATGACAAAGCTTTCACTCTATTCATTTCCCCATGTTTGCAGAACAACTGGGACCAAATTATTTAAAGTGGTTTTTACCTGGCCTCCTTTTCCTGCACAGGCAATTACTTCTCTGCAAATGGCTGCCCTGGCCAAATAACTATGTTTGCAATTAGCTAATTGTGGGCTCAGTGAGCCACTTGTTCCTTCAAACTTGGCTATTAGAGTTGTGATTAAGCAAAAATGTGTCTTTTTATTCCTTTCTGATTTACAGAGTCACAGCAGATCCCAGATCTGATCTCCCTATGTTCTATTACAATGTCAATATAAGCCTTTTACTTTTTCATTTCCTGCTGAATATCAGTCATATTTCCATTCTTTTACAAGTCACAAGTTACACTTTATATATTGGACCCGAAGACTTTGTTTGAATTAAGTCAACCTTCTAATAAGGCAGACCATTATTACCTTAATCCAATTTACAAAATATAACGAGGCTGGGTGGGCGAGGTGGCTCACACCTATAATCCCAGCACTTTTGGGAGGCCAGGGTGGGCAGATCACTTGAGGACAGGAGTTTGAGACCAGCCTGGCCAACATAGCAAAACCCTGTCTCTACTAAAAACTACAAAAAATTAGCAGGGCATGGTGGTACACACCTATACTCCCAGCTACTCAGAGGCATAAGAATCACTTGAACCTGAGAGGCAGAGGTTGCAATGAGCTAAGATTGAGCCACTGCACTTCAGCCTGGGCAACAGAGTGAGACTCTGTCTCAAAAATAAAATCAAATCAAATAATTTTGTAAAGTAAAACAATAAAAAATACAATGTTAAGGCATCAGAATAGTTATTTTGCCAAAGTCACACAATCATGATAAAGACTAAAACTAAAAATCCTAAATAACAACTGCCACTTTCTCCCTAGGGACTGAGTTTCTCTACAATTTTTGCATAGGGTACCAATCAACCGTCAACCTCATTTACTTTTAATAGGAGGCACCCTTACGAATTCCTCCAAATTGCTATCACCTGGTTTCTTGGAAGCTACAAAAATGTAATTTCTTTTGAAAAATGGTTTTAAGTGTATCTCCTGAACTACCTTTTTCCCTATAACTATGCAGTTTCCTTTCTTATTTCTGTATGTTCTAATTTTCTTGTTCACACAACATTAATAGAGCACAAAATATGTGCTCAATTCTCAGTTTCATACAAAGAGGTCAGCTCCCACTGACATTCCTCTAATCCACAAAAAAGGAAAGTAGCCAAAAGTAATGAGTTTTCATTTATGAGGAGATTAATATTAATAAGGATTAGATGTATTTGCTTTGAGAATAACTTGGACACTTTTAGGTTTCAAGATATCTGGCTTCCAATTAAACACTAGTACATCTCCCAAGCAGCTCTTTTTATTGGGTATCTTTTATTATTGAACTCTCTAGTTTACAGCTATCTTTTCTTATGATTGTTTTAAGTGGAGATAACCCAGTGGGAAAAGATTCCTGATGTCTCCAGAGGTTCTGACACATCAGTGAATTCTTATCTCTGTGTAATCTCTACCTTGCTTCAAAGGCCTCTAGCATTTTCTTCAAAATTAGCATATAACAAGACAAAGAGAGAAATCAAGGTTAAAGGTGAAAGTGGAAAGGGGAAAAAAAAAAACAAAGAAAGCAGAAGAAATATTCGGGACAATGATAAAAGGTGGGGGCGGGGGGCTGGTCATAGCTTTCAAGAAGACATAATAAGTACAGCTACTGCTCATAAACAGCATATTCTAAAAGGGAGTGTGCATGAAAGATAAAACTGTGTATGCAACCTGCTAATGCACACAGGGGTAGAAGTGAGAAGAGGGATAGGATACAATGCAAGTGCAAGCGGTCTAAGATGAAAATGTCACCTGTGGTTTTCACTTACCCAACACCAGCAGTTCCACTGAGTCCTCATTTTTCCCCTCCAGGTCATCTGGGGTGGTGATAATACAGTAATAGAGTCCGCTGTCTCCCCACATAAGCTTTCCAATTTGAAGATCTGCATCTGTTATCACAAAAAGAAGGACTCAGTCCTAAAACTCTGTCCTCTGAAAGAAAAACATTGAACAATGGGGGCTGGGAGGGGAGAACCCTTCTAGGGTATCTGCAGTATTTTCTTTATCTGGATGGTGGTTGAAAGATGTGTGCTTTGCTTAAAACAAACAAACAAGACCAACAGAACCGTAACAAAAACTAGCATCTCTAAGGAAGGACAATTACAGCCTGCCAGAAACTGGTCTAGTTCTAGTCCAGTTTCAGGAGTAGGAGATGGCTTTGAACCAGGCCTGCAGAGGCCCCTAAGAGCCAGGAAAATGCCAGAATTATTCTGAACTCCTGGAGATAAGCTAAAATCACAGGAGTTCTTCAAAATTCAAATAATCAAATAGGTCATATCAGACTCTTGGGACTTTTTGATGTCCAGAGCTTTAGAGAGCAAGAGAAAGGGTGGAATTGATGCAAAGCCACCTGGGGCTTGGGTCAAGCATCTACCTGGCTCTGTTATTTGTATGCATACATCCCTTCTCCCTGCGAAGAGTCTGCTTGCCACATTTGGGAAAGGAGCCTAAAGGCTGATGTCAAGGTATAGGATGTTTGACTGAAGAAGTTTTTCCCCTAAAACCGTTTCAATTCAGCTCTAAAAACAAGCTCCTGAGGCTTGATGCTGGGCTCTGGAAAGACTCTTTCCAAAGTTCATCTGTATGTCTTCGAGAGATTTTACACGATTCACCCTTTTCCCCCTCACCATCCCGCTGAAGCAATGATAGGTCTCTTGATGCTCCCATTTCCAATAAAATAAAAGTCTCGAGGGTCTGAAAGGGTGAGAGGCTAGGATATCACCTTACTGACATAAGGGAAGGGAAGAATGAAACTAACCTCCCTCCCATTCCTAGATTCAAAATAGGGGCATTATTACCATGAACAATCGTGATCTCTCTGCCCCTGTAGAAATCTCCTAGGGTGACAGTCGAGCCCTGTTTTGAAGCTACTACTCGAACAGTCCTCCTGCTGTCTAAACAATCCAAGTAGGGGTCCCATTCCAGATTTCTCTTGCTGAGAGATTGGGCCCGGGTAGAGGACATGCCCAAGGATTCTCCCATGCGATCCTGGCAGTAGGACTTGAACTTCCACTGCACGACTGCAGGCTGATGGGAGGATGTTGAGAAGTGGCAGCGAAGCACAGTGGGCTGGAAGAGCATGGCCACCTTCTTCTTGTCAGGCACCGTGACCTGAAGGCCTTCGACAATGGCTGCAAAACAGAATAAACATGTCCAAACAGTGTCCATATCCTGGACCTCACCTTCCACCACATGGTCACACCTTTCCACTTCACTTACCTAACTTGTGTCACCTCAACCTCATTTTCACAATTACAATTAATGGCATTAATATCCATCTGGTTGCCTTGTGCAGAAACACACCCTCTAATATAGTTTGGATTTGTGTCCCTGCCCAAATCTCATGTCAAATTGGAAGAAGGGGCCTGGTGGGAGGTGACTGGATTATGGGGGGCAGGTTTCCCCTGTGCTGTTCTCATGATAGTGAGTTCTCATGAGATCTGATGGTTTAAAAGTGTGTGGCACTTCCACCTTCACTCTCATCCTCTCCTGCTGCCATGTGAAGAAGGTGCTTGTTTCCCCTTTGCCTTCCACCATGATTGTAAGTTTCCTGAGTCTTCTCAGTCATGCCTCCTGTTAAACCTGTGGAACTGTGAGTCAATTAAACATCCTTTCTTCACAAATTACGCAGCCTCAGACAGTTCTTTATAGCAGTGTGAGAGTGGACCAATACAACTTCACTCCCTATATCCAGTCAGGCATTAAGACGTATCAACTTAATCTCTTAACATCTTTAATATTTCATCCCTCCTCTTTAACCCCATTACTATTGCCTTTGCTTAGACTCTTCTCATTTCCTCCTTGTAATATTACGATAATCTTTTGGTCTTCCTGCCTTCCATCTGTCAACATCCAGTACACTCTTCTTGCTACAGTTCAGATGATCTTTCTAAACTGATTGTTATGGCTCTCTTTCTTAAGACCTTTCACTCATCCTCCATAGCCCTCAGGATAAAACCCAAAGTCCGTGGCAAAGTACTCCATCATCTAGTTCCTCTTACCTCCTCAGCCTTACCTCTTGCCTCTTGAAACACCTCTCTTTGAGCACCAAGCTCCAAGAGTATCAAACAACTAATAGCTTCCCCAGTGGGATATCCTGTTTCATGCCTCCAGGTCTTTGCACATGATGTCTCCTGTTTCTGGGATGCTTTTCCCTCACAAAGTTGCTTGGGCAACTTTTTTGCATCTTTTAAAACCCAGTTCAAGGGCTTCTTATATAGCCTTCTCTGACCAATAAGTTTATCACTTCCTCCTTTGTGCTATCAGTACACCCAGCATTTTCTTCTGTTACTCTCACAGTCTTCCATGTATTTCTTTTCATGCCTGTCAGGTCTGTCAGACTTATCAGGTATGGAAGGTATCTTACCTTGCTGCTCTGGCTTGTGAAGTCCATAGGTACTCAACAAATATTTGATAAATAATGACAATGAAGCCAGGAAGTATCACTTCAGGAGGAAGTGACTTCCCTTCCAGCTGGTGACCCAGCAAAGGGGACACAGATGAAGAGGAAAATAAGTCTTTGAGAGAAATGGAGGATTTCAGATCAAATGCAGTAGACTAAGTTCAAAAGCTCTGAAGGGTAATCAAAAGAAGGAAAAAGTTGGTGGGGGGGGGGTGCTAAAAAGCAGATGAGAAGTTTAAGTGGTAAAAAGATCCAACCTGAGGCTTGGTGACCAAGAAAGAATGAGAAATTTCAGTGAATGAGAGACCAGGGGAGTGTGTGAGAAGCAAAGGTCCCACATGAACTCAATGATAAGGTCTAGAAATTCCAAGCAAAGGGAACATAACTTTCTCAGTTGAATCGGAGAGTTGAGTTTCTAGCTTGATGTGAGGTTAGAAGCAGAAATAGAATTATGATGAGAGGCAGAAAAAACAAATATGAAGATATGATAAAGAAGTTCCAAATTGAATCCAGGAGACTGCTAAGTCAGCTTCAAGTAGCTTGGGGCAGAGACATGCAATAAAGGACTACTTTCCATGGGGTCCTGTCCTTTATTAGTGCCAGTGTTCACAATGACATCCTGCAAAGCCAACTCACTCCCACAGCTAAAGCATAAACTTATTTATGAATATGCCTCTTTACTGAAGGACTCTTGACAAGGGAAAGATATATATTTGTACTCATATCTTCTGACATCCAGACCTATGTCTCTATTCAGTGAAAGGAACGATGAAAAAGTAGGTCCTGATTCCTGTTGGGGAAAAGGGTTTCTGCATTCTGTAACATCTGGAAGTGAATACAACAGAGTATTTGAGATTTATCAAATCTCAAAGCATTTTGGACCTACCCTGTGCTCAACAGCTACCTACAGAATAAATGAAGAAATGTATGAGCAAATGAATGGCTATTAATATGGGAATTTCTAGGACTTTGCAGAGGAAATTAGTTAAATGAGTCAGAAGTGTAGTAAAATAGTGTTGGCATCAAATAGGAATGGCTTTGAATCTCATCTGATCATATACTAGTGATGGTTTCTTAAGCAATCGGAGACTCATTTTCCTCACCTATAGAATGAGCATCATAATACTTACTCTCAGAGTTGTTAACAAACGTTCTTTCATTGGGCACCTTCAGAGAGTAGACTCAGTAGAAGAGCACTGTGACCGGTAAAGAGTAGGTCTCAAATGCTAATTCTCCCTCACCTTGCCAACCTTTCCCCTCACCTCCCATCCTGAATCTTGATAACCATCCATCACCACCAGGCTTGATTACATCCAGATTATGCAGATCAGCCCCATCAAAAGGCAAACAATTCTATCTGGAAGCCCACTGAAGAACCCTAGTTCCCATGCTTCCCTTCACCACCACTAAATGTTGATGTGGCTAATTCCTTTCTCCCTCACTTACGTAGCTAGATTAGGAAAATCAATTTCTTTATAGTTTCTCCTTAAATTCTAGCGCGTTTTTTGACCTTGTAATTATTCTTCAAATCCTTAGTTACACCCCAATTTTTCAGGTAATAAAAATAGGAACAAGTGAGGTGAAATGACTTCAATTAGCAGTGGTTGAGGCTGGATAACCACTCACAGGCACCATTCCCATACAAGGCTGTGTGCTTGACCACACTTCTTTTCTGCTCCACTGCTATTCTGGCACTGCTTGGGAAATCACATTTCCTAGCCTTTCCTTTTTTCTCCTTTCTGACTTTTGTTTTAGGTTCAAGGAGTACATGTGCAGGTCCATTACACGGGTAAATTGCGTGTTGCAGGGGTCTGGTGTACAGACCATTTCGTCACCCAGGTGGGTGCTGTACAAAAGTGTGGTGAGATTTATTTATTTTTTTAGAGAGAAAGTTTGCGGTTTTGTTCATTAGATAATTACTGAGAATAACCTTCCAAGCTCTGTTCTCTGTTAACGAGATTAGCCATTTGAGCAAGCCACTGGCCTCTCTTAATCAATTATTAATAGAGGTTGGTCAATTCTCAGCTTCTATTACATAAACATAAACTCATGCTCCAAAAAAATAAAAATAAAAAATACACTCTCAGAAACATCTGCCTTTTTATAGCATGATACTTAAAGGCATGGATTTTGTAGTCAGTCCTAAGTAAGAATCCAGGCTCTACATGACCTCAAGCAAATTACTCAACTCTGATGAGTTTCAGTTTCCTTGCTGGCAAAACCAGAATAATAGTAACTACCTTATGGAGTTGTTTGAGGGTTAAGTGAGATTGTATCCTAAGTATTTAGAATAATACCTGGTATGTAGTGAGCATTCAATAAATGTAGCTGCTAACGTTGCTGAGGCTATCAAGAGCAGTCTGCTGACTTCTGTGAAGTTACAAACCTAGAGCTACGCAAGCACAGAGATCAAGGTGTGAGATGCCGAGTGTATATAGGGCAAAACCTGCACAAGAATGCTGGAATATGTCATCAGGAGTTCAACAGCGACAGTGCCTGGGTATGCTCCTCACTGCACATCGCTTATACACCTCCTGGAACTCAGAAGTAGAGAGTAACCCTGTGTGTGTGTGCACACATGCATACACATGTGCGTATGTATAGGCACAATGAAACTCTAAGCTAAAGGTAGACCTGGAAAAGACAGGACTAGAATTCCAAATAAATGTCAGTTTATTGGATCTTTGAGAACCACAGAGTGACGTGTTGGAGATAAAAGTAAAAATGCCAATCCCTCCTTCCGCACCACAGGTTTCAAACTGTAAGATGCATGCCATCCAGTCCCCAAACTGCCCTGACCAAGTTTATCAGGACCCCCATTCCCACTGGAGGGCAGGGTCTAGAAATGCTCTTCTGGCCCTAACCCTGGATCCCTGGTGAGTGCCTAGGTTTCCTATAATCACTGGGCAGCATCTCTTTCTCTCAACTGTGTTTACCTTATTTGGAGACTGTTTTTCCACCTTGGTATCCTGATTTCCAATCCAGTTGCTCCACTGGGTCTGAACCCTTGCCCTGGACTCTGGCCTGCCTGCCTGGGACCCTAATACCAGCCCCTTCTCCTGAGGGTCCAATATTGTTTCCTATACTCTTCATGCATGGCTGATCCAAATGTGAACCTGTGATGCTGCTATCCATCTAACTTCAAAAAATACCTCTCATGGGACCCCCACAGATCAGGCCTCTCAGAGCTGGTAGCTAATTTGGGTGGGGACTAGGATTGCCAGTCCCCTGTGGACACTGAAGTTTGACCTGGAGATATCCTCTCTCTGGCTCCCATTCCCAAGAGGTCTGCCCTGGGAGTAGGGGAGTATCCTGAGCTGGGGTTCTATCTCTTAAGAGTTTTTGTTTTTGTTTTTCAATTTTCCTACTTGTCAGATGCCAAAAACCAGGTACCAAGAACAAGTACTTCTTATGCTGCAGTCTATACAGGCTAATAAGAATATGTAACTGTAAGTTTGAATTCCAGATAAATTAAACATTTTCAGCCTCTTTGTAGTGATAAGCTGTGCATTTGATCTAAGAAATCTCATTTGCTCCCAAGGTTCCAACTACCAGTTATGTCTCACACCCCCAACTCCCTTAAGCCTCATCTGCATACTTAACAAACACTTTAAATTAAACGTGTCTAAACCTCATTCATCATGTTTTCCCACCCTAGCTCTTTTTTATAAACTCATCCTTTCTCTATCCCTCGCTCTTTTGCCAAAATACCACTTAACCTATTGCCCT